TCGTATATAGAAAATACGTAAATAAGCTTAAAAGTTTTAGACACGACTGATGTATAAAAATAACTGTTGGACCCCCCCCCCCTCTTTACTTTATTTCAATATCGTATTATTATGCTACGTTTAAGTGCGAGAACGAATAAAAAAAGAACTAAAAGAGAAAATATAGGGAGTCAACAACTTTTCGGTCTGTCTTCCTTTTTTCTTCCTTCCTTCCTTCTTTTTTCCAACCTTTTTTCTGCAATCGACAGAATCACTGGCTATTCGACTGCGATAAAGACTATGATTTTTATATATACATGATATAAGAAAATGGTCTTGACCGTTATTTCTTTATATTTAAAAATTATTTGTTCTTCTATCTTTTTTATGAGAAAATGCAATTTCAGAGAAAAAGAAAATTATAACAAAATTAATATTAAATTTTTCTAGTATAGCAGCACTGATATAACAATATTTTCTAATTCTTAAAAAAAATTATATTTTCTGTACTATAATTTAAAAAATTAAAATTATTATAAATTATATTTCCGTATAATAAAATAACTATAAAAGTAAATGTCTTTTAATCCTCCAAAAACAGTAGAATATTTTTTATTTGGAAATATAATTCTTTTATTTTACTTTAATTAATTCATAAGCATTATTAAACTTTAAGTAACCCAGCATTTTTAGTAGTTAGTTTTTTATTGATTTTTTAATTTATAACTTAAAGAGTTAATGCATTGATTATTCGTTATAATATATGATACAGCAAAGTTTCGGGCCAAGATTTTGCACATCGAATTTGTCAGCGTCCATTAGGTTAGTAGACGCCACTTAGAAGTGACATTAGTTGTCGATGTGTTGGGATATTTCTGTACTCTTAAAACGCTGTTGAAAAATTTCCTCAAAATTTCATATTTGAATATAGATAATTAAAGATATTTCTCATATTTGATGAAATTGATTCATAAAGCAAAGATTAAACTTTGAAGTTTGTCTCAATATTTTTTTAAGCTTACGATGAAGCAGAAGATGCATTTTTCATTTGTGATATTACACTGATATCGAAATATAATGAACAATCTTCTATTTGGATCATTGTATTACTATGCACTCATACTATTAATTCATTTATGTATTTTATGTGTGATCCGATAACTTCACTTTAATATATATTTCGGATTTGAAAATTGAACTAAATTTTTATAACAGTGTATAATATTATTTTACTATTCTGAGTTCTTTATTATTATGTAAACAGTAAGCACATTTGATATAGGTCTATTCTAAATATATTCTACAAGCCAAAGTATTTTTAGACACTTATCTGAAAATTTACAATATGAAACTCAACGCAACAATAAAAAAATCTCTAATAATTATACATACGAGAAATTACAATTATATCACGATAATATACTTTATACAAGTGAAGTATAAAATTGATTTATAAATTTACATATTCATAAATTCAAAAAATTTTAATTAAAATTTGCACAGATTTTTATTATACTATAAAAAGTGCAATAAAAATTGCTTAGAAACTTATATCAATAAATCTTAATATTTTTAAATTACATTAAAAATTCATAGATATAATTAATATAAAATGAAATGTATAATAAATATATAGCCAAAGAGTTTATCGAAAAATAGACTATTCGGATATATTAAATAAAAATAAAATATAAAAATTAATGAGCAAACGCATTGTGTAAGGTTGGTATATAAATTATACATAAAATAAACAAACAAATAAGTTAATCCTTTAGTGTCTTCTACTGTTAATTTTGATGTAAAAGCGATTTCATTCTACAGTATCATTTTTACTAATAATACGTGATATGACATTTGAGTACAAATATCGATGACAAAAGAAAAAATGCATATATACTATCTAACATAGGTACGATAACTAAGAGATCATAAATATCCGACGTCTGCAACCTGTAATTATGCCGAATGACCAAAAAATGCGGGAAAAAGTTGACAAAGCTAACCATCTTTATTTAATGCTATTGTCAGTATATTTATGAAGAACACTTGGGGATCTTTGTACTCATTTACTATCTTTTTATACTTTATCGCTCTATCAATTGATAAGAATTTTAAATAAATGCTTACTCGGAGAAAACTGTTGGTCCTTTTGTTATCTGCTGTCAATGATCTCGAGTTACTAGAAATACATTATGAAGTTGCATAAGAGTACGCTACAGCTTAAGTAGAGTATGATGCTGTTTCAGGTGTGTATGCATGCGCACGTGCGCGTGCGCGTGTGAATTAGTATTTCGTATAACTTGCTAAAAGTGACATAAGAATATACCCTGAGAATGAAATAAATTAAAACTAACTAAAAATAATGAGTGCAAATTTTTGTTCTATGTGTTATTCAGAATGAATTGGAAAAGTTCACCATCATATGTAAATAATATTTTAATCAAAGGTGGTTCATTTTTGTTTTACGTAATTAAAATATATATATATATATCGTTATGATAAACAAGATCATCAGTTGAATCTTACCATTGTTTTTCAATCGAAATTAAAAATGTTTCAACTTAAGTTTTCTTGCATGAAAATAATCGATTATTAAAATATAATGTCATACGATCTGTACTTAATGAAAGTGTAAATTTTATTATTAAATAAAATTTATAATATGTATTTATATAATTTGTACGTAAGAAGTTTACCAACATAAATTACAATATTTACTTTTTACTTGTATATAGTTGGACGTAGATAAGTAAAGAAGAACAAAGGTATTAAAATGAAAACATTGATTCAAAGTTTTTCACATATACTTGCATAGTATGTTTATATTATTAATTATTAATAGTAGGTTTTATACTATTTAAATGAATATATTATAAAAAGTAATACAAAACTAATAAAAATAGTTAATCTATACTATTTCAGTAATAAATTACTTGAATAAAATATGAATTAAAAACATTGATATTATTCTATATTTCAGTGTAGAATACTTTCAGTTAGTATTTGAGTAACATTGAAAATGAAGAGACCAAAAACAAAAATTCAAAAATTGATAATAATTTAAATAAACTGAGTAACATGTATATTATTTTGATATTTTAATGATATCTGAAGATACTGCAATATAAATATTATAACCACTGTTGTCAGTCAAATAATTTTTTTCTTATAACACTATAGATAATAATTAAAAAAGTAAAAATTGAAATATAATCAATAAAAAGAAACTAAATAATTAAATAAATATTAAAAAATCAACCATCTTCATTGTATTGTATTCAAGGTAATTTAATACAATAAAAAATAATATCAAAAATTTGATTGTTAACTCAAAGAGACAATTTTAAATTACTATAGAGATTCATGATTAAATTTTATTTTTATATTTTTATGATTAAATTACAGAAATACTTTTAATGCAAAAAGAAAATTTTTGATTTTATTCTCATAAACTTAGTGTAAATGATAAAGTATAATGACAAAGACTTAAACTAGTTGAATCTATGTAATACCTATATTAACAACATTGCCTTTATGTCTTGAACTTAACAAGTTTCATATGATTCGTGTTTTTAACATATTTATAGATTAAAAAAATATTTTGACCAATTACGAAATAAATTTTATAAATACAAAATTAATAATTTTTACTGAAAAAGAAGTCAACTTTAATTTTTTAGTTTTTCACGTGACACATCTATTAATCAACGAAAATTAATTTTTGCATAAATTACAGTTTAATGAAAATTTATAGTACTTATTCAGTAATGAATATTTGGTTACTTCTTGTAACGGGAGTCTGATATATAAGATCATTAAGCTATAGTATCATATTTTCGAATGCAAATTTAAGATTTATTTAACGTTACTAGGCAACGCTTTAACACCAATTATTTTAACAAAAGTACCAAGTGTGCAAAGCCAATTCCGTATTTTAAATTAAATGTTCTTAGTAGTTGTTAACTTCGTTGTTAAATTTCTTATATTAAAAACAGCAATGAGGTTAAGTTTAAAGTAGGTATGAAGAGGAGAGAAGTATGTAAAATATGTATACGTGCCATAGAAAGAAATGGTATGAAGGAAACAGTAGACGAGCCGGGGACCATGTTGACGTCGAGCAAAATTCTTCCACACAGGCATACGTTTACTCACGAACTATATTACTATTATTATTGTCATAATCGCAGAGGCGATCGACTCTGTTTTGCTTTCAAAGCGAGTCAAGTATTGCAAGAATCATGGCTCTCGCCAATCACCGTGATACAGACAAAGAAAGAATAAGAAGCGCATCGTACATGTAATAACGACGATAATGACGAAGATAACGGTGACAACGACGACAAAGCAACTGTTCACAATCGTTTTCCACAATAAATTTTACAGTTTCTCATCGCGCCGCCCAACCTTCATTTGCTGATTTAACACGGGATATAACGCGTTGACTAACCAGTGACAAAAAAGTCGAGAATTAAAACGTTTTTTTGGTTTTACAAACATAACCGTGCAATAAAATATCTCTACTTTGCAATATTGGCGCAAGCAAAATATTATTGAACTGATTAAGACAATAAAGCAAACCCAATAATCAATTGAAATGTGATAAAATAAAATGCAATTTAGAAGAATACGCAAATGAACTTTTTTGAGAATGTCTTCCATTTTGTTTTTTTATAGACACTTCTTTCAAGGTTCAACAACACTATACCAATAGTGCTGCCTGCATTATATCTAACATAAATAAAATAGGTTTAAAAATGTTATCATTTTAACTAAAGTTTTTACGAAACGTATGAATTTTGCGTGTCGTTCGAATCTGAGCCTCGTTGATTCATCTGCTAATAAAAATTTCAATTATGTTTAATTTCTCTGTTTATATTTCTCGGTTGGCAGTACTTGCACTCAATCATTTCAAATGCATACAAAATCAGCAAAGCGCGAAAGGCGTCGTCTGTGCCTCCACGTGGCTCGATTCTTTACTCGCTGGGAGGACAATAGATTCGTCCTCTGAATAGCCGACTCACCTGCAGAGGTCCGCTTCTTGCTCCTCAGTCGTCTCGACGATTTCCTCAAGCAGGTGGTCGCCCTTGCCAAATACTGACATAATCTCGTACTCGCGCCGTCCTCCCGGGCAAACCACCAGAGCGTACCTCGGCTGCTCTCGGACCGCTTCTTCCTCGCCTCGACAAGGGTCTTGCGGCTTGTCTGGAGCTCGCACCATGCACACTAGGACTGCAATTCCCGGTAGTAACAGTTAGGAGCCCGTCGGCAAGGGGTCTCTTTCAATGGCTACACTGAACTTTTGCGTTTAAAACACAGGCGCGCGCCCGGGCGCGCGCACCGCACACTAGCTCAGCCGCGTTACGACGCAACTCCTTGACGTCCGATGGCGTGTCCTCGAACACGTAACTGCAAGTCACAACAACCGACAGCAACAAAACTTTGGCGGGAAACAGCTGAGAGACCCTGGAATAAATCAATTGCAGCGACACTAGGCTGACGTGCAAAACAGCCTCACCGCGGGAGAGAATACAGTTGTAGAAAACTGGTACTTTCTGTTGCCGGTCGCAGGGCTGTTGTTTGCGCAAGGTGTCGGTAGTGGCTCCCTCTCCTCTTCCTCCTCCGCCGCTGCTTTTCTCAATTTCTTCTATCACAAACACTACACGAACGAGAACAAGAGAGCAAATGAGTAGAGTGATAGCAAGACAGTGAAGTAAAAGGGGGAACGTTAAGTGCGCGCGCCCGCACTTATGGATCGTTAATCGAAGCTAGCCGTCGTCACTCCAATTTTTGATAAATTAAGCGATTATCGTACCGGATGCCCCAGTATTTCCTGCCACTCTACTATGGAATTGCTTACACGTGATAGGTATATGCAATTTGGTGGAATAGTGAGGTAGTGATGTAGTAATGGCGGTAATGGTTATAACTGTGTCTGTTCTGTGTCTGTGGCTGTGTTATAGATGCGTCTGTACCTGTGCCTGTGCCAGCGCCTGTGTTTGTGTTTGTGTTTGTGCCGGTGTCTGTGCCTGTGTCTGTGCCTGTATTTGTCACTGAGCTGTGTCCGTGTCTGTATCTGTGACTGCAGCTGTGGCTGTAGCTGTAACTGTAGCTGTAGCTGTGACTGTAACCGTGCTGTGGCTATGGCTGTGCATGTGGTTGTGGTTGTGACTGTGGCTATGGTTGCGGCTGTAGCTGTTACTCTAGTGACAATGGTGATGGTGGTGGTGTCGCGACGAAACAAAACGAACGTGGTGATGCCGTATCACAATTGAGGTTATGGTCGGCAGGCGATCGCGCTCGGCGCTTGTCGCTCTTTCACCGGCTCAGGCAGCCGCGGGCCAACGCAAAGACTCGGCGGTCGTTCCTCCGAGGCATGACCGACACGCGCAGCATGTCGTCGTCGTTGTCGTCGTTGTCCTCCTTAAAAAGGAATGGGGGCAGATACGCGTCGGCGACACCGCCTTCTGCGACAAGCCGGATGATGATTTCTCGTCGCCAGTGCACCACTTCCTTCCGAATAAACTCACTCTCCAGACTGACTCGTGTACCTTTTTCTCTTATGCGCGTCTATCGACCTGTTTTCGCACATATACGAGATGTACACGCCCAGGCATGCGCGCGAAATACGAGACGCAGTAAGATGAAAAAATACACATAAAACCCCGCGCCTACGAATGTAGCTGACTAACTGACCGACCGACGTCGACCACTCTACGGAGAAGCGCTGCTGCGGCGTGGGTCTCACGCGCCCTGCCGGCAGCATGCACACACAAACACATATATAAGCTGATAGTCACTGAGCCAATGTCTCTTTTGCTTTTACTATGCGAGCGAAAGAAGAGTTTCATAAGAGGGGAGAAAATAAGTACCAGGAATGCGCGCGCAGCCGGACGGGATGACGACAGTGACAGGCAGAACAAATCACCAGACCTTCGTCTCGGAACTCTGGATTGTGTGATGATCGGTCGACGGCGCGAGAGACGGTGAAGGGGGTGTCAACGTCAGTAGCGACCAGCGAGATTCGGTTTTGATAACCACGTTTCGATTTGACACGCGATTCTCTCGCATCATTTTTACGTACTTTCGCTAAAATAGTTTAAAATAAAATTTTCAAACCCATACCTAACGTCCGTTTCACGAAAAAATTTGCTGATCGATCGAATGAATGGCTGTACGCCAGCACTTTTTCCCAATACTTTCTTTGTCTTTCAAGCTAAATATTACTATTTATCAATTAACTATGCCGATACAAATAAACATAGGATTTGCCTATGTTTCACATCAAAGCGTTTATATCATGAATTAAAATTAATTTATTGATGCATATACAGTAAAAGATAGTTTACAATGATGAATTACTATATTTTTTTAATTAAACATCATAATTTTAAAAGACTGCATAACAGAAAGACTTACATAACAATAAATATTGTTTATTCATGTTTTAAAACCGATGAAATTAATTAAATTTTATCTTTCGTAATTATTGTAGTTTCAGTATTTAATTTATTTTAGAAAATAATTTACCACGATTGCAGATTTTACAACTTCAATTATTCAATCGACTATTAAAAAAAAGTTTAAAAGATTATCATTATTGTTATTGTTGTTATTATTATTATTATTGTTATAACCAATCATATGTATTTCCTTAATTTAAATTATAAAAATACAGTTTTATAAAAAGGAGAAACAGAAATTTATCTTCAATATGTACATTTACGATTATATACAATAGTAAATGACTTTACAAAATTAAAAACATTAAATCCATACAAACTTATAATTACAATAAAAAAACATAAAAAAAAGTACTGTATGCTAAATTTTTATTTAAATTTATTAACAGCCATTATATGATAAAGTATTACACTTCAGATAAAATTATACGTCATACTTTTTAACTAAGTGTATTTTTTTCAATAAAATTTTTGTTAATATTTTTCGAGGTTCCCGTTTAAAAGAGAATCTCAATTTATTATTTCACATTTTATTCTGTAATAAGATATTTTAATGTATGGTGGCTTTTGTAGAATCTATTTAGTTTGTAATCAATTTTTTTTATTTTTTAATTCGTTGTGTTGATTTATGTTATGAAGACACCAAATATTCTAAATTTACGAGTCTACTGAAAATAAAAATTCATGTCTGTGGAGATAATAAAATATTAATATATTCGGTTGCGGACTGCATGTGTTGGTAATAGATATCGAAAACTCGAGGCCTGATAGTTGTGACTCAAGTATCATTGATGCTTCTCCGTATTTTCTCAAAAAACGCGACTTGCAATTTCTCCGTGCGAATACGTCTTGGCGAAGCTAAACAACATTAATTATTCTTTGAGAGCCAGTGTAATCGCTGATCTTAACATCAATTAAAAGCAAATGCTAAAAAAGCCAATGGTGGTAATGCAGCCGTGAGGAAGAAAAAGGCGGAAGGGCTGTGGTGGTGGGGTAAAGGGAATGAAGAAGCGCGGCGTTCGAGTCGATTGAACGGAAGCTCTTAATCGGCATCAAGAGTATGCTTGCTTTGGAACGCGTGACTATGGGATCCGGCAGTCGGTCCTCCGGCACTGCCCGGCTGGATTCCGCAAGAGCCAATAAGGCTTGAGTCAGATCTACGCAGGCGTCGTGAGCTATTGTCGGAACTCCAAAATCTGTGCGCGTGCTTGTGAAAGCTCCTGCGTAGTTTCTCGATCAGCCGGCGATTGCGAGAGTCGCTAGATTGCGTTGGTTGGAAAGAAGAATAGAATGTGTATCACAGGGAGAACTACTTCATCGTCGCGTAGCTTTGAGCTAGTGGAATGCTGTTGCCCGGCGCGCGGGAAATATCTACCAGCTGGTGTGTGGCTCAACGCCCCGCCCATTAAATGTGCCAGACTTTTCCTTCTCCATGCCGTTCGCTGTCGTCAGCACCGCCATCTCCCTTCTGTCTTCTCACCCTTACCCCGCGGCCCTTCTTCTAAACCGCCCAATGAACCCAACCGATTGGCACAACTACCTCACTGTAATATCTAGTCGTTCGTTTGACTGCATTAAACAGTTAACTGATCACGAAGGAAAAGGAAGAAATTGTCTTTCTTCCTTTTTTACTGAACTCTCGCTCACGTCTACATAATATATGCACACCTTCGTTTGTCATTTTCCATGCAATCTCAACGGCCTATGTACTTCGACTTTAATTCTTCTTCGCCTTATCCTTATCCTACACTTTCACCATTGCACTTGTTTTTCATCGTGTTCAGGCTACATTTGCAATTCGATGAATTTGCCTGTCACGTGCACCATGTCTCTCCGGTCCACCACTTTATCGTATTACAGTGCTCTTTTTCAATATTGTTATTAGTTTGTAAAGGGTTTGGAAATTCATCATACATTCTCACTGCTTTTTTCAATTAAGTTTAACATTCATTATATTTATACGCACTTGCAAACGTAAGTGTACCGATACTCAAACTCTAATAATATAATGCAGTTGTCGATTACAAAATAACTAACACTTTAGTCTACGCTCTTGTATTATCATATGAAACAAGCAAGTTTTTTAAATTGTTTAAGAGGCAAGATTATTTTATTTAAGAAAATTAATTTTTATTTTCATATAAATTTAAGCTATTATATGCAATAGAATTATACTTTTTTTCTAGACAAATATTATACTGTAAAATTTAATAGTATACCTGAATTTCTCATGACAGGTCGTTTAAATTACACTTGTTTACTGTTATATTTCCAACTTATCTTGAATTTATATTTTTGTTTTTCACGCATTATTCACGATTGAGCTTCCTTTTATATCTCTTTTATTTGTATTGACTTTTTCGGGTGCTGCTGCTTAAACATGGATTAACGTAAAATTAGCTTGTAGGGATACTTTTAACACAAATATGTCAAAAACAGAAATTTTTCTTCCGTACTTTTATTACTATTATTCCTTTTATTCGCATATAAATAGAAACTCGCGTCACAAGATTAATTCTTAAAAATAAACGCTCATGTTTCAGTTATCCTTTCTTGGCTGAGAATTTACGCAAAAAAATTCAAATCATATTTCAGATTACCTATCTAATAACTTCTATTAACACGTAATGGAAATATTAAAACATTTATGTAAAATCATGGCTGCAATAGTTTTTATATCTAAGTTCTCAAAAATACAGCACTCACTTATCGTATAAAAAAATGGAAACAAAGATCCTATTTTTTTTTGTCCTGTAGATTTTATTGTTTACATTTTTTCCCTTTTTCTTTCATTGAGTTACTCTCTATACATATTTTGCCTATTTTAGGTATTAGGTCATCAGGGGCGTATCTAGTGTTATATACTGCAACTGGATGTAATGAACAAATTGCTCTTGACTGATTAACTTGATTAAAACACTTTAATTTAATGAATTTATAATTATTTCATTAAAAAACTTAATAACTTATATATTTATTATAAAATAATTATAAATGATGTTACAATTCACAAATTGAAATGTTCATTTTTTTATAGTAATTCTGGTATCATATGTACAAGATGAAATATAAAATTTTCCGATAATTTTAATTGTTATATGCATAATGCTTTAAAAGTCTCTTCCGAATTTTATATACTTGCTTGCTTTAATATATATATATATATATATATATATTTCTAAATAAAATTAATTATTTATTGTTCAGAAATTGTACAGCCTAACAAGTGTATTATTCAATATTATTAAATAATTACGCTTAATGTGTGGTGACTAATAATGA